ATGTTACCTTCAGCCAGAGGATTTCAGATTAAAGCAAGAGAAACAAAAAGAAAACAATTGGGCTCTGATTTTAAAAGCTGTATAACATTATTTCCTTCATACAGACACACTCAAATGTCAAGTCGTGCAGACGGTAGGGCAGAAACGCTCGCTTATAGAAGCACCAATTTTACTTGTTCTCTTAAAAACTTCTTTCTGCACCAAAAGGATTCCAAACTCAGTTCCTCATATCTCAGCCAATCAAAGAGGCCTCTTTAAGCTCATGAAACATAAGGTTTTAATTTACAAGGGATCATCTATATTTCTTTCCCAGGGCCTCACAGAAGGACTACATTTTAAATCCAATTAGGTGCCTGTATGTTTTGCAAAAGGTTTCCCAGATAATAATAGTATATACTATTTCCAATTGCATAACAACAGCAGCAGTAATTAAAGCAGAGTCATGCGCTAGTTCTTTGCCTCTAGTCTTCCTGAGGCACTGAGAGTTAAGTAGTAGCTTTAGCAGAAATCTTCTTTAGTTAACCTTTGAATTACAAGAAAATTTTGGATAATTATTACCCTACCTTGTTGAGAATAATTTAGTGATGATGGTGATATTTTTTCCTTTCGTATTTCTATTTTTTTAAATGTGTTTTCTGAGATCTGTGTAAAAGTAATCCTGATATATATATTATGACCTAGTGAACTTAGCATCTATATTAAATCTTCCAGTCTTTCCATGTCTAATATGTAAATTCTAACAAATGATGGCTGACTCTCAAAAGATAAGTTAGCTTAAGATCTTGATATGAATCAGCCAGAAGTACCTGTGAGATAAAAGTCAAGATAACCAAAGTACCATCTCTCTTGATAAGTTGTTTTAAGGAAAGCAATGTATATTTTTAAAAGATGTATGTAAATGAATCTAAGAACTCTCTCACCAATGTCAAGGACAGATTTGAAGAAAGAAAAGACATTAGATTTGGAATTGTAGCAAAGACAAGAATTAGCTGATGTATAATTTCCTGGGTTGGAAATTCAAGAAGAAATGAGATAGAGATCTATGCTGAAAGCTCAGGCAGAGTTACACCTCAAACACCTCTATCATAGACTCCTAGGTGACGGAGTAGCATAGTCTGAGCTTTCTCTCTCACTACCAGCTCCCTAACCCAGCAATACCCTTCACTAGGAAAGAGAAGAGTTAGAAACTCAAAGCAGAGTAGACCAAGCTCTCACTTTTCATTTCAAACACACAAAAGTGATACAGAAGTGAGAGTCCAACCTTATAAAGTTTAGTTTCAAGATGTTAGGTTTAATCTAGCAATTCTCAAACTGTATTAGTGCATGAGTATCAAGCAAAATATTTAGTGTGTGTGTGTGTGTGTGTGTGTGTGTGTGTGTGTGTGTTCCAAGTGCATAGATATATTCCAAATACTAGGTAAGATAACGTTTAAAAAGGGTTCTTTACCTAACCACTTCTCAGAGATTTTATTAAGCTCCCATGAGTCTCCAATAAGGCCTTTTCCCAAACTTATTTGAACAAATTTATTTCACAGAGCACCTTTAGGGAACCTACTGCATTTCACAAAATACAGTTTGCAAAATGCCAGTCTAACTTGTCAGTCCCAAGCATTGATACTCCTACCACCTCTATCCAATTGTAGAAAACTATGTTAAACACTGAGGAACTGCCACAACCTGCACCCAAAAACCAAAATTTCTCCTATAATTTTCAGGAATGGACATGTTCACCCAATGGAAGTCCATGGGTTTTGGTCAGACACAAACCCCACTCTGTTTTCAGGAATGGACATGTTCACCCAATGGAAGTCCATGGATTTTGGTCAGACACAAACCCCACTCTGGCACTTACTGGCTGTAGGACCTTGGACAAACAACTTAACTGCTTTGGTCCTTGGTGTAAGGGATGATGCTCCAACCTACTGAGCTACCCAGCCAGGGCCAAGAACACTTAAAAACAAATATATATTTTATACGTTTACTGAACCTTACTGAACCTATTAATATTTGAAGAACAATTATATATATATATATATATATATATATATATATATAATCTTCAAATTAATATTTGAAGAACAATTATATATATTAGCTGGAACAGTGTCATTTTGTTTTAACAAGCAGAGATATGACTACACATTTTCTAGAGATACCAACATGCATGGTGATGAAATTCACAGTGTTCTGTTAATGTGCAGTTCAAGTAATGTTGCCACACTCAAGGTGTTTGCCACCTGGGGTGTCTGTTAAAGAATGAGATGCGGTTGTAGTTAGGTAGTTTTATTTACTTGCAGCAAGTAAACAGGGAATTCACCCCCAAAGCTGTCTCTCTGAAGGGTCTTCTCAGGTTTTTCTCTCTAAATATATAGTATTTAGTTAATTACATTTTGATTCCTTCTTTGCAGTTGGCTACACTTACCTGATTGGGTTCTGCTTGAGCTCATCCAGTTACGGCTGCCTCTGCAAAATATTGTGCTATATTTTAGCATTTAGCAAGAATAGCATTCAGTAAGAACCGCCCAGACCTGGAAACCCTTGTCCTCTCTATTAAGCACACCCATCTTAAGTAGTGACCTTCCTGTTTAGACTAATCTTCACGCTTTTTGGCGACAGTGGTTCCCTTTTTCACAGTCATCTTGCCTCCCCTTGCTGATGTGGGGGAGAAGTGACCTTTAGTAGCTCCCTAATTGTCTGTCTATATAATTAAGCCCATTTTTTTTTTTTAGCATGGACTAAAACGTTCTCCTGAGTTCCCCAAAATATCTCAGCCACTCTTACCCTCCCTGCACATACACACACACACACACACACATACACACACACACACACACCACCCTTTGAGCAACTCAAGCAATTCTGAGCTCCTCCTGTCTTTTGCACCTTCCACTCACCTCTTCATCAGAACCCTCCCTACCCTTTCCGCAGGCTGGCTGCTTCCCAGGTGCTCCTTCAGCTTGAGATGGGCCCTTGAATAACATCTACAAGTCTTTGCCCCCACAGTACTCTGCCCTTGGCTGGGCCATGTCTTGTTGACCTCTGTACTCTTCTACTTAACAGTGCTTACAGCATAATAGATGCTTGGTAAGAACTACTTAGGCAAATGAATGGATAAACAAAAGACAGAAAAAAAAATGGTAGAAAAGTATCTCCAGAAAGTCTAATCATAGGCCAACCATCCTAGGTAGGATTAATAATACAATGGCACTTGATTGATAAAATTGAGTCATGTGGTTAAACCGCTTGGGGGGGAAAAAGAAAATACCTTACATAGAAAACAAGAAGGTAAGTCAGCTGAGATGGATTGTGTTGTTTGAGATGAGGAAAGGGATATGCACTACGCTTTTTAGCTTTCAGACTTTTGTTTTCTAAACTGGCATCTCCAGCTCTGCAGCCTAGCCTCTGGCACCGAACTGGCCCGGGCCTGACACTCCCAGAAGTTCCCTCAAGAGCCACGGGCCTCCCGGGCTTTGGGCGGCTCCCAGCAGCTCTCAGGGCCCAGGCTGGCCGCCAGCCCAGCTGGGAGCCACCTCTGGGATCCTGGGCTGCGAGGAAGCTGGGGGCCAGGGGGCGGGGGTTCTCAACTTTCTCTCTCTCTCTCTCTCTCTCTCTCTCTCTCTCTCTCTCTCTCTCTCTCTCTCTCTCTCTCTATCTCTATCTCTATCTCTATCTCTCTCTCATATTTAATGGGTAGTTTCCCCTTGCTTCTGTTTCTGACTTGATTAAAGAAGAGAAAAGGGAGTTTGACTACAAGAGGAGTAGCAGACGGCGCATCTGGCTTGCATTTTAAAAATGCCATCAAAGTTTTTTTTGTTGTTTGTGTGTGTGTGTGTGTGTGTGTGTGTGTGTGTGTGTGTGTGTGTTTTGTTTGTTTGTTTTCATTTTTACAGCGATCCGAGGACTTCTCCTCGGGGGAATGGCGCATCCCAAGCCCGCCCAGCCCTAGAAAGCTCCGGGGTTTATTAGGGCAATTCTTTAAACAAAAACTCCAACAGCCAGACACTCTCAAAGGAAGCCGCGCGCTCCTTAAGTCAAAGGCATCTGTTTGGAGCGCCTCGCTCGGCTTGCCGTTTGTCCCCCAGCGTTCAGAGCAGGATTTTTTAAAACATGAAAAAACGGATAAAAGGAAAGAAAAAGCCAAGTCCCGCGGTCCGCCAACTCCTATTCATTATCTCCAGCAGCATATGGGACCATTCTCCTACTTGTCCTCTCCCTTTCTTCCTTAAAAGTAAAAGCAACCAAGCCTGTCCCGCTCCCTAGCAAACCCACTCTTTGTGCCGGAGCGGTGCCTCGCGACTACTTCTTCCTCCGCCCCCCGCCTCCCTCCTCCTCCTCCTCCTCCTCCTCCCCCCGCGCCGCCGACTTTCACTGGGGGAAGGCGGCGGCGGGCGGGCGCCCTTTGCGCCGGGAAGCCAGGGCCGCGATTGGGCGACGGTCCCTGAGCCTCCAGGTCCGCGTCGGTTTCAAGGCTCCTCCCTCCCGGTGAAAGGCAGACCGCGGGGCGCCTGGAAACCGGTCCGAGGGCGCGCGAGGGAGAGGGGAGCGCGCGAGTTGAGGGATTGACACAAATGGTCAGGCGGCGGCGGCGGCGGCGGCGGAGGCGGAGGCGCTGCGGGGAGCCGAGGCCGCTGCGCTGCCGAGAGTTGCGCGCTCTCCCCGGCCGCGGCCACTGAGCGCGGCGCCGCCAGCCGGGAGCCAGCGGAGCCGAGGGCCAGGAAGGCGGGACGCGACCCCGGCGCGCCCGAGCCACCCGGGCTCTCCCCGCCGCCGCCCGCGCTTCATGAATCGCAAGTTTCTGCAGCAGCAGCGGCGGCGGCGGCGGCGGCTGCGGGGCGCAGAGCGGGAGACGGGGCAGCGGGCCGTGCGCGGCTCGGCCTCGACGGAGGGCACCGGCGCCGCCGAGAAGATCGCCCCGGCCGCCGCAGGGGGAGCCGCCCGCCGCGCCGCCACCACCAGCCCCAGCCGAGCGGCGCGGCCGCCGAGAAAGGAACTGAAAAAGTATGGCTGAGGAGGAGGCGCCTAAGAAGTGCCGGGCCGCCGGCGGCGGCGGGAACTGGGAACTTTGTGCCGGGGCGCTCCCGGCGGCGGGGCCCGTGGCCCAGGGGAGCGGGGACTCTGGCCGCCGCCGCCGCCGCCGCCCCGCAGCCGGCTCCGGGCGCTGGGCGCGCTGGCTGCTGCTGCTGCTGCTCGGGCTGCTGGAAGCCCCGCTGCTGCTTGGGGTGCGGGCGCAGGCGGCGGGCCAGGGGCCCGGGCCGGGTCCGCAGCAGCCCCCGCCGCCGCCGCCGCCGCTGCAGCAGCAGCAGCAGCATCAGCCTCAGCAGCAGCAGAGCGGGCAGCCGTACAACGGCGAGCGGGGCATCTCCATCCCGGACCACGGCTACTGCCAGCCCATCTCCATCCCGCTGTGCACGGACATCGCGTACAACCAGACCATCATGCCCAACCTGCTGGGCCACACGAACCAGGAGGACGCGGGCCTCGAGGTGCACCAGTTCTACCCGCTCGTGAAGGTGCAGTGCTCGGCCGAGCTCAAGTTCTTCCTGTGCTCCATGTACGCGCCCGTGTGCACGGTGCTGGAGCAGGCGCTGCCGCCCTGCCGCTCCCTGTGCGAGCGCGCGCGCCAGGGCTGCGAGGCGCTCATGAACAAGTTCGGCTTCCAGTGGCCGGACACGCTCAAGTGCGAGAAGTTCCCGGTGCACGGCGCGGGCGAGCTGTGCGTGGGCCAGAACACCTCGGACAAGGGCACGCCGACGCCCTCCCTGCTGCCCGAGTTCTGGACCAGCAACCCCCAGCACGGCGGCGGCGGCGGCGGGGGGTACCGCGGCGGCGGCTTCCCCGGGGGCGCCGGCGGCGGGTCGGAGCGGGGCAAGTTCTCGTGCCCGCGCGCCCTCAAGGTGCCCTCGTACCTCAACTACCGCTTCCTGGGGGAGAAGGACTGCGGCGCGCCCTGCGAGCCCACCAAGGTGTACGGGCTCATGTACTTCGGGCCGGAGGAGCTGCGCTTCTCGCGCACCTGGATCGGCATCTGGTCGGTGCTGTGCTGCGCGTCCACGCTCTTCACGGTGCTCACCTACCTGGTGGACATGCGGCGCTTCAGCTACCCGGAGCGGCCCATCATCTTCCTGTCGGGCTGCTACACGGCCGTGGCCGTGGCCTACATCGCCGGCTTCCTGCTGGAGGACCGGGTGGTGTGCAACGACAAGTTCTCCGAGGACGGGGCGCGCACCGTGGCGCAGGGCACCAAGAAGGAGGGCTGCACCATCCTCTTCATGATGCTCTACTTCTTCAGCATGGCCAGCTCCATCTGGTGGGTCATCCTGTCGCTCACCTGGTTCCTGGCGGCGGGCATGAAGTGGGGCCACGAGGCCATCGAGGCCAACTCGCAGTACTTCCACCTGGCGGCCTGGGCCGTGCCGGCCATCAAGACCATCACCATCCTGGCGCTGGGCCAGGTGGACGGCGACGTGCTGAGCGGCGTGTGCTTCGTGGGGCTCAACAACGTGGACGCGCTGCGGGGCTTCGTGCTGGCCCCCCTGTTCGTGTACCTGTTCATCGGCACGTCCTTCCTGCTGGCGGGCTTCGTGTCGCTCTTCCGCATCCGCACCATCATGAAGCACGACGGCACCAAGACGGAGAAGCTGGAGAAGCTCATGGTGCGCATCGGCGTGTTCTCCGTGCTCTACACGGTGCCGGCCACCATCGTCATCGCCTGCTACTTCTACGAGCAGGCCTTCCGGGACCAGTGGGAGCGCAGCTGGGTGGCCCAGAGCTGCAAGAGCTACGCCATCCCCTGCCCCCACCTGCAGGCCGGCGGGGGGCCCCCGCCGCCGCACCCGCCCATGAGCCCCGACTTCACCGTCTTCATGATCAAGTACCTGATGACGCTCATCGTGGGCATCACGTCCGGCTTCTGGATCTGGTCGGGCAAGACCCTGAACTCCTGGAGGAAGTTTTACACGAGACTCACCAACAGCAAACAGGGGGAGACCACCGTCTGAGCCCTGGGGGAGCGGCTCGCTCAGCCCGGCTGGCTCAGCCCTGTTCCCAGCCCTCGGGGCAAGGGGCCCAGCCACCCATTCCAAAACCTCCTTTCCCCACGGAGTCCTGCTCCATGCCTCCTCACCGGACCCTTTCGCAAGCTTCTTTGGAACACCGTGGCTCCTGCAAAAGCTCCCGTCCCTGGGGGCGAACGGACCCCGGGGCCCAACTGCCTGAGAAGGGGGGGAGGGGGGAGAGACCTCTCTCCCTGGAACCAGGACTGTACGCTTTTATGATTGTAAATAGCCTGTGTAAGATTTTTGTAAGTATATTTGTATTTAAGTGACGACTGATCACGCGATTTCTTTTCCTTTTCTTTTTTTTTTTCTTTTTTTGTTTGTTTGTTTTGTTTCCGTTTGGATGGTTTAGGGCGGTTTAACCGTGTGAGGCTTTTTCCTTCTTGTCCTTTTTGGAGTCCTGCAGAGAGAAAAACAGAAAAGCGCACCGGCCGGGTGTCCCGCTGGTTCGCTAGCGCGCCCCTCCCGCCGCTTGCAGCCCGGGGTGCATCCTTGGCTGCAGGTCCGGGTCCCTTTCTCTCTCCCGGGTTGAGTTTGCTCCCTCCCTTTCCGCTCCCGGGTTGAGTTTGGAGATCTTAAGGTACTGCACTTCTTAAAGCTTTCAAGTCTTCCCTGTCGGGGGCCTGATTCCCAGGTCTGCCCCTTTAACTTCCGGAAGCCCAGTCTTCCCCTGTTAGAGACCCTTCCCCCTGGCTTCCAGGAGGCCCGCGTCGGTGCTGGCCGGCAGCCCCAGACTTCCTCCGCCCGGCCTCCACCGCCCAGACCCTGCCTCCCTCCGTCCATCCACCCAGCTCGGCTAGAGGGTGAGTGGGATAACCAGTGCCAAACTTTTTAAAACTCTCATTTTTGGTGGATGAGCTCATTTCATTCTCGAGTGTCTAAAACCTGGTATGAGTTTTGGCCCGCGTCATGGAAAGATGTGGTTACTGAGATTTTGGGAAGAGGCATGAGGCTCTCTGCGTGGGCTGGGAGGGACTGGAGATGGGGGTTATAAAAATGCTCATTCTAATTGTATACTGATGCCTGGCAGCCTGCCTGTAGGACTGAGACAGTCCGGGTTTAGATTTTAGCAGCGTGCTGTGAAATGGAAATGTTGAGGTCACCTGGAAAGCTTTGTCGAGGAATTGAGCTTTGCTTTCCTTAACCAGGACTGCAGGACATAAACTGAATTGTGAAAACTTGAAGGAGATTTCAGTGTAATGGGGCTTCCTCAGAATGAAGTGCTACTTTCTGATTTTTTTTAATCAAATAAGAATTAAGACCTATAGCAGAAACTTTAAAATGTAAAAGTTGTGCTTGCAACATATGATTCTTATTAAGCAACACGTTTTGAGCGAGTAACAATCCACATCATTAATAAAACCTGGTAAGAGTCCCAGCGGTAAAGGAGGTGGATTAATTGATGGATTAGCTCCTGAAATTAACACAATGTGGGCATGCATGCTAAAAGGGAAACGGTGTGCAGGTCTGCTGCATTAAATCCTGTATGCTCCTGTTTGGATTTACAGAAATGTATCAAATGTAAATCTTTCAAAGCCATTTAAAATACTCACTTTAGTTCTCTGTGAAAAAAGACGAGAAAGGCAATCTTCCTGATTGTTTGTAAACTTTAAGAGTTTATCAAAATGCCAGTACTTAGGACCTAAATTTACCTATGTCTGTCATACCCTAAAATGACAATGGTCTTTGAATTTGGTATGCATTTATTCTGTTCACTATCACAAAATCATCTATATTTATAGAGGAATAGAAGTTTATATATATATTATACCATATTTTTAATTTCGCAAATAAAAAAATCAAAGTTTTGTACAAAATCATATGGTTTTTGTGCCTGAAAATAATAGTGTTGAAACTGTCTAAACTACAAACTGTCTTTACATTTTATAGTGTCTCATGGCTAGTTCCATAGTATATAAAGTCAGGAATTCAGTGAAAAAGCCTATCTTTAAACCTTCATACCCATCCTTCCAAAGACTTAGCGTACTTTGCATTGTGATTGACATTGTGAAGTCCCTAGAAAAAGATCTGCTTGCAGGGCAGTGACAATATAAAAGAGAAGTTTGAACATTATTTCTTTACTCAAAGAAAATAATTAAAAAGAGAACTCTAATTTTAATATTAAAGCCTTTTTTGTTTGTTTCAAGGGGTAAATTTACATGACTTTTTAAAATATAGAGGTTTATTTTTAAATCATCAGCCATCACCTTTGTCACAGTTTTTATGAGGTATTGTCTTATATTTTCCATAATCTTGGATATTCCAAAACCATAAACAGGTATTCAATAAATGGTTAATTGACAGTGTTTGTAAGCATTTCAAACAGCAGTTGGTTATATAAGGTTGTTTTGTTGTTTGCTTCTGAAGACTCCATTTTTATATTGTTTAAGGAACCTTCTTCAGAGGCATTATCTAGTTGGTCTACCCAGTCAGAATTTATATATATGCATATATGTAGAAAATATATATATATATGTACATACCTATTTATACACATACATATACGCATATATATATACACACATTAATTAGTATAAAATAGAGATTCAAAGTTTACTTATACATTTTACAATGTGGAAATAAGGTTCTGAGAAACAGAAAATGCCAGATGGGAAACCTTAAATACCTTTGAAACACCAGTCCCTTACTCCTTTACAGATTAAAAATATCTTTATTAAATTTTCCATGAAAACAAGTGGTGTGATAAAATGACAAGGTGCTAAAATGAAGATCATTGGTACAATAGAGTTACTTTCGTGGTTATAAAGCTATTGTCTCATGTCATCGTTATTTCAAGGTAAATGAAAAAGTTCAATCTAATAGGAAATATAGTATTCTAAGTTCCAAGATGCTATTTTATGCTCTTTTTTTCTTTGTTACATTAATGTAGTAGATATCTGAAAAGGTTTTATTGTATAAACACACACACACACACACACACACACACACACACAAAAAGCAATTCTTATACCAAATCAAAACATGTCTCTTCACAAGATAATTCAATCAGATAATTTCGGGGGGGGGGGGGATTTTTTTTTCTCTATTCAAGGAATAAATATAAAGCATTTTTATTGTGGGTATCCTTAAAATAATGTAACTACAAATTTGATGCAGAAAGGTTTTACAATGCTGGATTTAAATAGCTTTTAAGGACATTTTAAGATGGCACCAAGCTTTGTGTGTAGAAAACAACTTATTTTAAATTATGTAGAGTATAGAAAGCCAGTATATTATTTTGTTTCTTCCAATATTGGAAGCAAAATAAGACTTGCCTCCAAATTTGTAAAGCTGCTAGGAATTTGGTACCATTCATTTGCTGTTTCCACGATAAACCCTATTTTCAGATGGTTTGGTTTGCCTATCAATGGGAGTCAACCCCCCCACCCCCACCCCCCTGCACCATGTGCTTGATTCAGCTTTTATACATAGTATGAAAGGGTTCTAGTGCTCTATTTTTTTTTAAAGCCATTTTTAACTTGAACTTTGTGGGGGCAGAAAGTCATATTTTAAATCTCAAAGCCAGCAAGTGTCAAACATATGCAAAACAGCTGGATCAGATATTTCCGTTTGTCTGGGTTAGTCATTTGTCTGCCTGAGTTTGCAGATTTGGTCCTTCAGTGACCACTGAAACCTTCCTGCAGTTGCATCATTTCTGAAGTCCGGTATTGAACTAGGAAAGGAGACCACAGTGAAGAGTTGGAGGCTAATTAAGAAAAAAAAAAAATGCCTAAACCAGAAACCATTTCAGGACCTGGATAGTTTCCAATCACTTTCCCTGATATCATGTTTCAATCTTGGTACACTTTTGTTTTTTGTGTTTTTTTTTTAAATGCCACATTTTCAGTGTGTGTATTTGGGTTCAACTTCAGCTCCTCTAGCTTTTATTGCTTTCTAGTCCATCTATTGGCTCTAGGCCACATTTTACATGTAATATACATGCAGTTAATTGAAACCAGTGGTATGACACTGGGTATCTCTGACATTTCTGATTATAAACTGGGGCCTGAGAGATAATCAAAATGTGCTCATTACCTATGTATTAGAGTGGACACGGGTTATATAGTTATTGAATACTTCACAGAATATACTAATTTCAAAACCTTGCAAGGTTAACCTGCAGGAGCCAAAATTAGATATGGACTATATAAAAACTCTGCAGTTACATTATTAGAAATGGCAGTACTACCTGTATTCAAGGCTTTTATATATATATATTTTAATGATTTTTTTTTTTTTTTTTTTTTTTTTTTTTTTTTTTACAGGGAGGAAGGGAGAGAGATAGATCAATGTACATGCCCTTACCAGAATCGAACCTGGGACCTTTCAGTCCGCAGACAGACGCTCTAACACTGAGCCAAACTAGTTTTGGCTGTATTCAAGGTTTTTATCTTAAGGCCCTTACATTTGAAATGGGGGTCTTACTAGAGAAGTGCCAAACAAGGAAAAGTTGGTGGCTTCTAAGGTTTACATCTATATTTGAACTATTGGCAGATACCAATATAATCTGAAAAACAGTACTTGAGCGTCAGTCATGACTCAGAATTCCCTTAAACTTTTTGAACTTAACTATTTTTGTTTACCTTGGTCATACTTTCTGACAATGGATATGATAAGTATAGTGACAAAGGAGCTTATTTGGAAACTGGTGATTAAAACGCAAATAGAGTCTAGACTAATTTTATTCAATCTTATGATTTGTGGTGATAAGTGTCTCTATTCTGTTATAAAATCAAGTTCCTGTTCAAATAAAATAACACTTCCTTTGGTTACTAGTTGATTTGGGACCCTAATTACAGGTTAAATCACAGAAATCTCATGTAGTGGATAGGCTTAAGTATAGCTGTAAATATATCCTATAATGAACATACAATAAATATTCGGAAGGTTATCAGTTTTATAAGTCAAGTGGATTCTTAAATTGCTTGAAAGAATAAGACAAC